ATCATTCTTAGCAGTTCATCAAAAGATTCACCATCTAGACGCAGAAAATTCAGAAAGTCGCCTGGTTCACTCACTCTTAGGTCATTTAATAAGTTCTCATGAGTTAACTCATATCTTTTTTTGAACCATTCCTTCATCCATCTTCGCTTTCTCCTTCTTCTTCAGACACACAGCCACAGGGATGGCCACACACGCAGCTTCTGTGTCACTTAACATGTTGACTGCACAACAATCAAATGTAAACTGAAAATCGGCAGCTAAAATATTGGACAATAATATTGTACGGTCTGGAGCACCTCGCAATATTATTGTGCAATAATATTGATCGTCTAGGGGCCGCTTTAATCTGCTGTTGTAGGGGAGATAATGAGAGGTAGAGTCATGGATAATTAGGCTTATAAAACCGAAATAAAAATTCTTTACAGTTCCCTAAAACACTTTAATAATGTCGATGTATCAAGAGATGTAAAGTGTTAGAATTATTATTCAGAATATATACCCCACTTCTTAGCATTCATATATTTTTATTAAGATTCTAGGCTACTAAACACGTTTTATTCCTTTAAAATTGTAAAATGTTAATTGCCTACTGGAATATTATTTTACTATCAATGATGCCGTGAAGATGCAGATGAAAACATGTAAATGTGATGAACAATAATAATAAATAGGAATCCCTTACCTCAAACGTTGTTCAATTGTAAGGGACCACGATGTCCAGCCGCAATGACGAATTTAATAAAAACCAAAATGGAGAGAGTATGACAGATTTCTTAATAATTCTTATATACGATAAGTACTTGTGATATTCTAAAATTGTCTAGTCTACGATGCACTACTACTACAACCGATTCACACCTCAGGTCTTTCCGCACTGACGAAAGCAACCAACCACCCAACCAAAAAAGCTAACTGAGGGCGGAGTCCTGCGCAAGCGCAAGCGTCGAAAACTGTGACGCAACAATTAGGAATCGAGCGCACTACGGTTTATTCAGGCAGTTATACTGCATGTATAAGAAATTAATAAAGAGCCTTATGGCATGCTCAACTAACATTGTTGCAGGTGAAGAAAACTACAATTCCAATTGCCCTTATTTAAAAATAACGCCCGGTTTCAGTATACTTGATTAATTTTAAAGATGATTTTTGAGGGTCCCCGGCGCTGGGCCAAAGAAAATGTTTCCTTCGTTCGAACCCCGGCAAAGATGTTTTCTGTTTTTCGGTTTAACAAGCACTAGGGAATAATAGCGCTAAGGCAAATTCTGTTTTTTTTCTGGGTAATGATTTGACTGACTAAGGTCACAAGCCCGAAAACTCTCTCAGACCCAGAAGATGAATTTGTATGAAAATGTCGTATTTCCCCTTAGTAAATACCGCACAATCTACTGGTCATGTGTAAACTCGAAGATGGGGTTTGACATTTCTTTACTCGTTCGCTTGTGGCTCGTGAAGAAGAAACATGGCGTAATTATTCCTTAAGACAAATGAGAGAACGCAGGAAGGTCGGAACTCTCGAAAAAGTGTCCTGAGTTCGATTTCCTTCAAGGGCGATTCCTTTAACTCCGAAACTAAGCGAGACAGAACAACGGCGCCAGGATCAGAGTTTCTCTGCTTCGGAGAGGAGATCACGGAAACGAAGGCCTCGACACTGGGTTCGACTCCTGACAAGAAGAATGGTTTCTGTTGACAGGAAATTAGCAGCGATAAAAGAACGACGCCAAGGAAAAATTCTTTCGTTTCGGAGAGGAAATTGCAGGATCTAAGGTCACAGACCCGAATACAGTCCAGGGTTCTAGTCTCTCTTAAGATGTTGAAGCAAACTATTTTTTGGACTTTATGCATCGTCAAAGGCAAAAACCAATAAAAATGACGTTTTTTTCAAACAATATAATAAAAAATACTGACATTCAAAATACCTTGCAAAAAACACAAAAAGATAAACGACAGATATCATCAGATAAATCAGATGGAACTGCTGCGGGCCCTAGCCAGTACCAACCATCCTCATACATACATACATCTTTATTACATTCCATGGATCCATAAGTTAGTCAGATAACAATAGGATGTAGAATAAGTCATAATAATACAATACATGTTATACAAATACAAGTCATACTATTATATAAATGTCACAAATACCAACAAAGGGTTCACATAAAGTTGAGATAAGTTACAAATAAACCCATCCATTATAAACAATAGATAAATTATGACTTACTTGTAAACATTACAAATTCATCGACAGAGTAAAAGGAGTGTGTAATTAAGTATCTTTTTAGTGCAAATTTAAATTGTGCCTTTTTATTTACAAGACTTGTGAGATTTGATGGTAGACTTTTGAAAATTTTGATCCCTGCAAAATATGCACTCTTCTGAAAACATGAGAGGTTGACAACACACACATCCTGCTGCTTAAAAATCTATCTTATGTGATAAGTTGTAATTTTACGTATGTTTAAGTTTCTGTTGAACACGGATTCACCTATTTTTATCAAACTTGGCATATTTATTCCTTTACATCAGGAAGAGAACAGGAAAGTGAAAACTCCGGATAGTGTCCTGAGTTTATTGGAACACAACGTTGGTGGCGCAAAATTTTTCATACGTTGGCTCTACTTATTTTTTCTCATTGAGACGTAATTACACCACCTTTTATTCCCACATCATTTGTTCCTTTGGTTTGTTCTGTTTAACAATGGAATTGAATAAAAATTTGTTTATTTGCATAACCACGGTAATCATGTTTAGATTGTAAATGGCCAATTTCTCTACACAGGGGTTTTCTATTGAAAGGCAAGTGTTCTCACATAATAAATTAGTATCTTATAAGATAACAGTCGATAACATCACTGGAAAACATTTAGGGAGTAAATGTTAACGTCGAATTGAAGTTAGGAGTTAGTTTTTATTAGAAATTATGACACTTGTGTCATCAGCAAATATTATGGGTTCTGTTAAAGTATTTCTTGTTTTTATTGTTGGAGGAAGGTCATTTATGTATATTATAAAAAGCAAGGGCCCTAAAACTGACCCTTGGGGAACTCCATGTGTTATTGTTCTCCAGTTTGAGAAAAAATTAATTAATTGTGGAAAATTGAATTACGGCGCATAATTTAGAGAAATATAGTAATTGTATCAGAACGTAGATTATGAAATTAAGTTATAGACTTTTCCGACTTCAAAATCAAACCCCTCCCACCCCCCAAAAAACAACATTATAATGTTTTTTCTCATTTCTCGCTGGAAATTCAAGCCACACCAACAAACCTACAAATTCAATTTGCCGATTTAAGAGTGACACAGTGTTATGGGAAACATCATATTACTCATCTCTCACTGATTTATACTCAAAATACTACCCCCCTCAAATAATCAGAAAACACAAGTTTAGTATCGTTTATATTTTGTAATAAGTATAGCCACTAGAAATTGTTCACATTAACGAATGTCATCGAATATCTGTCTCATTCCTTCTACCCCATAGAAGAATTTACTTCAACCAAAATTCTCAGCCATTATAAATATGTAAGCAATAGTGGTTCTGCTTTCCTGTATAATTATTTTTGCGGTAATGCTATAGTTAATTACAAATTACTGTGGCAGCCTTGTAATTTATATTTGTATTAGAAACATCTTTTGTATTTGTTCTATGCCATGTTGGTAGCCATTCCTCTGCACTCGTATGTGTGGAGAACAGTCAGAAGAATGTATATTAAAGGCTTATAAAACGTACCTTCCTATTTTAATTTGTTTTAATCCAGGGGAACAGCTAAAGGGGTATCATCATATCTTTATTTGATTTATGCATGCCACTTGCTTTGGTTATTTTGTCTTGACACTTTGAGAAATTAATCTGCTTTGTTCAGCTATGAACTTCTGGAAGAAACTGTACATTCTGAAAACTATTGTTGAGCCTGACTATGTAATACTTCATAACTGTGATTACCATTATTACAAGCACTGCTGCTTATACTTTGCTTACTTGAGATATGTCCTGTGTATGAACTTGGTATGGAGCTCCAAGAATGAGAATGTACACTAACATGAACTTTGCAATGGAAGAATACCAAGCTAAAATATAAAAGTTTGTATAATGCAGAGGTTAAGAATGAGTAGGAGCCATACCGCCTCTCCCCCCAATTCCCAACATGGCATGAAGTAGGGCAGCTTTATTTTACTTTACTGTACTGTACTTTTCAATGCCATTTGTAATAGGTACGGCAGAACCCTTTGTTTGACAGTTGTGGACTGACCGCCAAATACCAGAGTCACTTACAGGGGGACCCGCTCAATTGTTACCCTCCAGTTTGGCTCCAAGCTTGCTGTGGATCCTCCTCTGACTTCCTGGCCATAATGTTAGGTGTACACACTTGACCCTTTTTTGGAAAATGCAGCTTTATTTGTCAACGTGTAATGATAAAAATTAAATGTATTATGTAATACCTTTTAAAAATGTCTCATTCACAGTCTGATCAATAGCGTCCACATTCTTACACAAACGTTTGTTTTATTCTTCCATGGAGGCAGGGTCCTTCACATTGTGTGTGTGTGTAAGTAATATTGGAAATTTCCATTAGCACAGGAAATAAACATACAATCAGTTCCGTGTGTGTTTGGTCTGTCACCATGGAAGAATAAAACAAACCTTTGCATAAGAGTAATTAATGCTGTTGGTCAGATTGTCATTGAGACATTCTGAAAATGTGTTATGTAATAACTTAATGTCAGTCATAACATGTTCAGAAGCTAGTTGGGTTCCTGTCATTTTCAGACATGAATAAAGGAAGAAAGAAATAAAGAACTAAATGCAAAGACCTTAAATAAATGAAATCTGACAGACTCCATAGCCATGATATATATATATTTATTTATTTATATATGGTAGTAATAAAAAGGGGGGGGGGAATGGAACATGGGTCGGCTGCACCAGAAGCAAGCGTGCTACCATCTCAGCCATTGCTGATGTTGTAAAAATGTTATACTTTATGAGAGTATGAAGTAACAGCACAGAAAGACAAAATGAAACTATGTTTTTCAAAAAGATGGTGGAGTGTCTATACCTAGAATTTTGGCCAGGAAGTCAGAGGTGGGTTCACCACTATACTGCAAAGCCAGAGCCAAGTTGGAGGGTAACAATCAACTGGGTCTTCTTGTTAGTGGTTTGAGGTTCTCATGGCAGTGAGCATAAAGATAGCTGTCTTCTGGGTTGTGTAATATTAGGCTATGCAGCACCTCATTGATTGGCCTGACTGCTTAAAATGATCATGCCTGAATTATTTCAGGAGCAGTAAATAGCTGCCTATGTCTTGATGCATAGTGACATGAACTGCAGGAACATCTTACTAATACAGATATTGGTCACTATGAAACTGTCAGCACTGTCTGTGTCAATTATATGTAATGCTTTGCATTTGTAATTGTTTTTAACTTCCTTCATAAGACATTTGTTTTATGTTTGTTGTCTAACAGCCAGGTCTCTTACATGTTTTCAAAAAGACATTAACTGATTTACACAGTTGTTGCCCTTGGTGGACTAGTTGTTAGTATGCTCACCACTGGACCCAAGGTTTGCAGGTGATGGATTCTTAAGCGTAAAAAATCCCTTTGGAGGGGAAGTAAAGCTGGCAGTCCCGTGTCATAGATTTACGGGATGTAAAAGAACCTTACGAGCATGAATGAGATGTTTTGTAACCAAAATCAGTGGCCATTTCTCACCCATTTTCCTCCTGATTCTGTACTAGATGGTTCTAGCAGACAAATCAGAATTGAGTAGAAATTGTGCAGAGGCAGTGGGCTTGTCACTCACTACTCACAGATGCACACTTTGGACTAGGAAACCTCCCACATAAGAGGAGGCCAAGGCCCGACTCAGAGTGTAGTGCCACTGGATGGATGGATTTGCACAGTTTCGTAAAAACTGGTTCTATCTTCTATGCTGCTATTTGCAAGTAATTTTAAGTTGATTTACATATTGAAGAGAAGTCTTTTTACTTCTCACTGCATGTACTCTTGCTACTAGAATCCCCAATTCTGTTTACAACCATTTTCTAGTTGGTAGGCAGGATTTCATACTTAAGAATCATGGTCATTTGCAGTTTTGTTTTATTCTGAGAGAATTTGTTCTTAGGTAATTTCCTGATTATTTGTGCACAGTTTTTATTGTTAAATGCAGATATGTGTGAAATAGGTTTTCAAAGTTTTTCTGTGCTGTACTGTTTGCTTCATAAGGGGCGAAGGTGTTGGTTTTGGGTGGGTCTGCGGAAGATATAGTCAAACTGTACCTTTTCTCAGTGATTTATGTTCAGTATTGGTGTTATTCCTGCTCATTATTACAACTGGAAAGGAGTATGGATAGGGAAATTTATGAAAATTGGTTCCACAAGCACTTTGTTACAGAAGTTTGGGCTTTCCTCAAAGAGAATGGATTACCACAGTAAACATGGTTGCTGCTAGAGAGCGTGTACTGTCTTTCAACAGTGGCACATTGTTGTAAAGTTTTTGACCCCCGATATCATAGCTATTATGCAGACAATGGATCAAGGAGTGATTGCATCCCTGAAACAGCACTATTGGACTGACCTCATAACTCTTGCCAATGAAGATGACAGCATAATTGCATTTTGGAAAGAAAATGATGGTGTTGAATGCTATACATGGCATATCTTGGGCATGGTCTTCCATGAATCCAGTAATGCTGATCTGATCATGGAGGAAAGTTCTTCCTGATCTAGAGGATGATGATTTGCAAGGTGTACCTAAAGAAGAAATCAGCAATTCTTGACATGATGTGTGTTATGAGAAGTTCTGAAAATGGCAAAAAAAAAAATAACAGAGAATGGCTAATTGCAGGCTCTGTACTGCATGTCAAAACTGTTGTTGATGCTTGCACTAATATTGAATCTAACTTCAGCAGCATGTCTTTGTAAATTAAACGCCATTTATAATAATATTATTCTGTCATATTCTTACAATATGTAAAGGAATTATTTTGCCGTATTCTTACCACTGAGTTCCACAGTTCTTGAAATTACTGCCTGTGACTTTGCCCCTTTACTCTTACTTTCTTCTACCTTTCACAAATTAGTAACAGAAAATTATGACTTAAAAGCATAAACAACATAAGGAGTAAAACACAAACTGTACACTGTCCAGCAGTGTAATTTACCAATCCACTGTCTTGACTATCACCACTGTAAACTTTTTCAAGAGTACAGGGCAATGAAAATCCAGATATTATGTTTCAGTGTGATACATTTTAAGCAGTATCAAGTTTTGGTGATGACACAGGTTCTCTTATCTCTAATTTTTCACATCAGTTAATTTATCATAGTTTTACAGTATAAAACAGTTCCATATTGTCTCACTTCCCGCTCCCCCCAAAATTAATCACAAAATTAAATTCTGAAGCGCAGTTCTCAAGCCTGGATTTAAGCTTTACCTGAGGATGATGTGACTAGAGAGGTTGAGAAATCTTTATGAAGGGTGAATTGGGGTGTAAAAAATAGATAATGACTTATTTTAAGGCATACTGCAACTTGAATATAATGAAAATTTAAAAAATTGGGGATTATGATTGTTCTAATGTGTACACATATCTGAAAATAACTGAAATACATTAACTTGAAGACTGGGTCAGGAAAAAATTGGATATATGTGGTCAGTTAGCTGTTTTTAGTATGTTTAAACTGAAGTTTGTATCAAAACAAGTAAATCACATTTGTCTTTGTTACAATGTGTTTAATAGTTTCTAAATATTACCTGTCCTATTTATTAGCCGGTCTTGTAGGCAAGCATGTAATATTTTATAATGTTCTATGCATAAAAAATACACAAATATGACATGCTGTTCAGTCATTCAATGAAAATTCCAAACTGACAATGTTAATCAGCCACATTTTGCATAATTGTCTCATACCACTGTTAGATGTCTCTCAAAGTGACCTCTCTTTTGGTTTGTAACAGAATACCTGATGTAGCATTCTTGATGTGACTATTCCCATTACCATTTAATTTGTTAAATCTGAACTACTTTTCTGAAATCAACAAATGTAATTCACACTTCACTGGAACTTCAAACTTAGCTGCTGAATTCTTCTTTTTCCTTGGATGCTCAGGAATGTTTGAGAAGTAGCTGCCAATGTAATGGTTCATTGATTTTTAATTCTGCAGCTACTTATAGGTTTTTTAAAACTCTTATCAAGTCAGTTCAGATGTGGAAACCCCAGCAAAGAGAAGAAAGGTTTTGATTTTTGATTGACTAATGAAATTTGCACTGCTGTGAAATACATATATTTTGAATATAGTAGTGCTTTTGTACAGCGTGTTTAATCTTGAATGGTACTTTTTAATTTATTTTAACACATATCATTTTAATGTTTTCATATTGTACTGCTATAAGAGCAAAAAATGGAAAGCACACTGTTATAAAAACTAAAGAAAAATATTTTTAAAACTACTTGTTTCAGAGGTCAATGACTGAGGAATATTTATTGCATATTAGTAATTATAGACTAAAGACCTAACAATTCCCAGATGTTTATTGATAAACAGAGAGAACACTTATTGATGAGAACGGTTGTCATATGCATTTTGTCCACATCAGCTACTGAGCAGACTGCTGCAAGACTTAACCCTGTTGAGACGTTTCCTTCCTTGTCACCCTGTACCTTACCTACCATCCTTTCTGTCAACCTGTTCCCAACCTTCATTACATTTCCACCAGAGTGTGTCCAGGTCTTCTGCTGTTTTTTTTTTTTTGGGGGGGGGGGCTTTGATCAAACGGGGACCAGCCCCAGTCACTCTCTGCCTGATGGTCGCACTTTCCACGTCGCCTCCATTTATTTTGGACCAAATTGGGAATTGTATTTATGGATCGAAAACTGGGGGCAGAGAACCAGCACAGGTCCTCGGCACTGGACGGTGTTTCATTCTTTGTTAACTGTCAGTATTTATTCATATGACTGTTTACTGTTGTGTAATCCATAGGTTGTAACTCATAGTTTGTAAAATAAACGATTTGTCATAAAAGGGTTCTGGGCTTGGTGTGCCTCACGGTACATGGGAGATGTCTGACTGGAATCTCTTTTGATTTACCAGTAATCGTGAGGTCTTCATACTTTACATTCAAATTTAATTCGTCTACCAATGATCCACTGAGACACTAAGTAAAAGTAAAGCTGTCCCAATATATTCCATGTAGTCACTTGGGGGGAGAGGTAGTACAGTTCATACTCATTCTGAACCTTGACACCAGATGAGGTTGAGTGGCCACTGAGACACCATTGTAAAAAATATGTGTAAAGTTAAATTCAATAAACTTATCATCCCACTCAATCCCTGAATATATCCTTGAAAACAGGATTATGTAGGCAAGTCTATGGATAGTGCAAAATCGCAGTCATAAATTCTTAGGACTTATATCAAATAAAATCCTCAAAAATTAAAGGAAGAAAGCAAAATAAATCTCCTTCCATTCTCTCGTGCTCTGTACTCTATTTACTTCCATTAACGGTAAACGTACGGAGTACCTTGTTGAACAAGACATTCGTTATTTATCCATTTATCAATAACTGTACTTCATTTTTCGAGGAGTCATGAAAGTATGCACTACATCATCTGTAACTTTTGCTCGACGTTCCTGATGTGCAGTAATTATAGGCTGAATAACCTCAATTAGCTTCTTTTTTATTTCTCCAGTAAGAAGATCCCCATTAGTGTAATTCTGTAAAATAAAAAAATATTACACTAAAAATTACAACAATTTGGGGAAATTTTCTTTGGTTTTACTTATGCAAACCATCATCCAAGCAGCCAGAAAAGCAGAACCTTGCTTATAGGTGCTACCACTTCAGAAATGGTTTTCTTAACTTACCAAGCAGGCATAACATGATGTGTTCACCACAAACATTTATGACAAGTCATGCAAGCCATTATCATATCTTTTTCAGTAATAAAATTTTAATCCTAAGTGCCTTGAAGTATAGTCTGCAAATATTTTTCAAAAATCTTCTTACCAATTACGTTCTTTAAAGTCATCATAAGCAAAACTGTTATTTTGATGTAGCAAATTAAAGAAGCGTGTTGGTTAGTTAAGAAGAATCCGTTAGAAAACCAAACACTAAACCCACCCGTATTTTCCTTATGCGGAGAAGAGAGAGAGAGACAGATTTTATGCAAAAACAAGAAAACAGACCTTTTCAATTTCTTTTAGTTCTTCATCATCTTCAAGGAAGAATCGTAGGTACTGATACGAAATGTCTACTTCACAATTTCCTCCTTTTTCTCGATGCTCCTCTACTGTTGCCTGACCTCCAGAGAAAGCATGCTTATTTACCTGCAGACAAAGTGAGTGTACTCTTAGCATACTTTCTTAATTTCATTAAAATTTACCATGTCTATGACAAAAACTTTAGAACTCGGTGGAAAATTTTCATTGCATAGTTAGTTGCCAACTTCTCACTACAGTAACCTGGGTTTGTGCCAGGCTGGTCCAGTGGGATCTGTGACATTGGGACAACACTTTGTCCATGTTTTCAGTTTTTCCCTGTCAATATCATTCCACCACTGCTCCATATTCATTCATGTACCATCTGGAGGATAAACAATGAACGTGTGAGAGGTTGTAGTATCACTGAGATATCTTATCACAGTACAAGAACAACAATCATGCTAGGTTCTACCACCATTAGGCAGCATTTAGAAGCACTTTTATGATGGAAAACCCAGTCTGTGTATTTGGATGCACTCAAAAGAGCCTAAACGTTTTATGGAATGACATTATATCGCAAAAATTATATTTTACAAGTGCTTCTACCATTAGGCAGCTTTTAAAGTCACTTATAATATAGGTAATGAAAGCATGTAGCATGAGAATTTCATTGTTGTTTAGAAAAAGGGCATGGGAAAGTAACATGGAAAAAAGGAAAGTTAGTGTGAAAGGGAGGGAGGGAGGGAGGATGTTAAGGAAAAAGAAACAAAGGGATAAAGAAAATAAAGTGCATGAGGGATGAGGACAAGAAAAAAATCACTTATTTTAATGGGCCCTTTCCACTAATTTTAAAGAACTTTCAAAAGATATTAATTTCAGCTGGGGTACACACAATGGTTTCATATTTTAAAATGTAAGGTCATAAGTGCCTAATATATAGAATATCCTGAAGTAAAAGCAGAAAAGTGGTACAATGTTACAGCCTTCATTCCTGAAAAATTTGTCTCCTTCTCCATACCTTGTTCTTGATTTGCTTTGGTGTGTCTGTAAGAAAGATTGACGTATTAGAATCACTAGCAGACATCTTTGTCTGTGCTCCCTGCAGTGCTGGGAAAAATGAAGAATGCAGAAGTGCTGGCTTATGATAGCCAAGCCTTGGGGCCACATCACGTGTCATCCGGAAATATGGATCCTGCAAAGTAAAGTCATTTTTACAAGTACCATGGTCAAAAGGATAACCAGTTTTCCTGGAAACTAAATTCAAAAATTTAATGAAAATGGTCTGATCCTGCAACATTCCACATCATTTACCTGAAAGATCTAATGAGGGATGTGTAAAAATCTGAACTTCAACATTAGAAATGAAACATCAAAATGTCACTTAATTTTATAAACAAAGAATGAGAAAATTAATTCTTACTGATAGCAACAGCAAGGTATTTTTCTTAATACTGCTATTAGATGGACTTAGAAGGTATATCATTAAGATCAATTTTCATTTCAACAGCCATATTTTAATATATGACTCATCACAATGAATAAAGAAAAACAATATACATTTATTTCACAAGGGTCAAATTTTTCATAGCTGGTGAATAGTGAATAAAATATGCACAAAAAAAGGTTTCAGCCTTCAATTAAGTGGCAGTTCTCATTGGCTAGTATTATTCTTGAACCTCTATGGAAACACCATGATAACACTGAAGATGTAACTAGAACAAGAACATTTCTTTAAGTATAAATTTAAAAGTTTGAGTTGTTCATAACGAACCATAATGCAACAAAGAACACTTACTTTATTAAGGGCAGTCAATATTAAATTTCACAAAAATTGATTCAACCACAATTTTTTAACACAGAACTTGCAAAAAACTTAATTCACATTTTGAACTTGTAACTGTTTGCTCCTAACATTTCTAACAATATCTGAGACTCAGAGATTTGGAAATGACCCTTATAAATTATGTAACCCACATTTACACTTACCTGATCTATGGCACAGGGAACGAGACAGGGTAAATTTGCTTTTCCAAAAATGAAGGGAAATGAGCTCGAAAATGAAGGTGCAGCCTGAACTGCTGGAAAGCTAATCTTTCCAATTACATCACTGTCACCAAACCCAAATATACCCTTCACTTGATTGAAGGTGACACATTTGCCTATTTTAATCATGTTACGGTAAAAGGCGGGACACTGTCTGAAACAAATAGCGACACATTTCTGCAATAGAATTGAAGACTGGTTCACCTACATGTGGTTCAAAACAAAATTATGGATAAAAGTCCTGGACAGTATAAAAAGTGATACATTTTAAAGCCTTTATCACAAAATAAAAATTACGTGACACAATAAATACAAATGCTGATTAACATTTTAACAAATAAAATCTTTGTCATTTTAATTAATAAATGAAAAAAATTTTATCTTTGCACTACAAAGTGAACAGAATGTATGTTACACTGAATCTAAAGACACTTAATGCTTAAGAGTATATTTAACATTCTGAAGCTGTATGAATACCTCATAATTAACAAAAGAAATAATGATTAAGAATTAAACAAATGAAATAATTACCACAACCCTAATAATAAATTAGTAATTACAGTTTGGAGTCTCAATGTGATATATTATTACCAGATAGTAAGGGAAAGTTTCCTTCATGGTAATACATTATTTGCATTTCACTAAGTCAAATACCATGTCCATACTCATATACTGGATTTTTATAACCCTTATTATAAATGTCAGAATATAACCTTAACCTTTACCAAATGGGAACAAAGGGTTTGAACCCCTAAACTGCAGGTTTATTGGCTGGAATTCAACTCTGAGTTAACAGCTAAAAAATAGCATTTAATCTCCAGTGACTAAGGTTAACTCTTTCTATTGGGCCCAACTTAATATAATTTATTAATCCTAAGTGTAAAACACCTTTGTCTGAACCCTTTACAGTTCATTTTCCAAAAGTTGGTTAAGTCACTAAGCAGTATTTTTAGATAAATAATTTATTTATAAACCCAACTAAAACACATTACATTTTTTTCCCAGACAAAACAATGTAGGGAGGAAAGTAATCAAATTCTGCACTACAAAGTGAACAGAATGTATGTTCCAGTGAATCTAAAGAGACTTAATGCTTAAGAGTAAATTTAACATTCTGAAGCTGTATGGATGCCTCATAATTAACAAAAGAAATAATGATTAAGAATTAAACAAATGAAATAATTACCACAACCCTAATAATAAATTAATAGTTACAGTTTTGAGCCTCAATGTGATATATTATTACCAGACAGTAAGGGAAAGTTTCCTTCATGGTAATACACATTATTTGCATTTCACTAAGTCAAATACCATGTCCATACTGATATACTGCATTCTTATAACCCTTATCATAAATGTCAGAATATAACCTTAACCTTTAGCAAATGGGAACAAAGGGTTTGAACCCCTAAATTGCAGGTTTACTGGCTGGAATTTAACTCTGAGTTAACAGCTAAAAAATAGCATTTAATCTCCAGTGTCTAGGGTTAAATCTTTCTACTGGACCCAACTTAATATAATTTATTAATCGCAAGTGTAACATACCTTTGTCAGAACCCTTTACAGTTCATTTGCCAAAAGTTAGTTAAGTCACTGATCACTATTTACATATTAAACAAATTTGTAAAACATAGGTAGCTATGTGAATGTGTAGCTTACCCAATAAAATCAAAGTCAGAGAAGATGAATGTTTTCTCAACATCAAACCCACATGCAATAATATCTTTGGCATTTTCAAAAGCCAACCGATTTGCATCATCTAATTTCATATCTTTCCACAGGAATTTTTCATCATCAGTTAACTGAATGACCAGAGGAACATCAAATACATCCTGCAGCCATCTAAAACAACAAAACAATGAATTTTCAGAAAGAAGAGTCAAGATATAATGTTTCCACTCTAATTTAGGATTAAAATTCTCAGCAAATGAAATGTCTGTATGGGTCAAACATCATTAATGAATATGCTTACAAAGACTGTAAAACTTCAGCATTAGACTAATCATCAGTTGACAGCTTACTTGGTTATAATGAAGGGAATGAGATGTCCAACGTGCATTGAGCTAGATGAAGGGCCACGTCCTGTGTATAAATAGAATGGCTTCCCCTGTTCATACAATGTCAAAATTTTGTGCATGTCTCGATGTGAGAAAAATATTCCGCGTCGTAGCAGATGATGAATAGGATGGCCTGTCACCTTCTCAAATCTATCCAATAACTCATCATCAATCTTAGAACTACCAAACCTTTCTGAAATCAGAAGAGAAGTATAGAAGTTTGTTTACAATGCTGAGTTCTATATGGATACAGATAAAAATGGATATTTTCTGAGACACTGGTATCTGTCTGCCTTCAATATGACAAAATATCTCATCACCTTAACCAAATAATGGAGATAGATAACATTTAGCATAATTTGCATAATGGTACACTAAAATAGCCACCATGAATTATCTTCTATAGTCAGTTAGAATTCTCTTAAAAATGGTAACAACCATGTTCTTCCAAAACAGGAAAATGCTTTGAAAAATATGTCTCAAAGTATATGGGTTCAATAAAACCTGTTTAAAACACAGACCAAATTAACCATTTAAAGCCAATATGTACAACAAAGAAAACACAACCTATTTATATTTCAAAGATCAAATGATTAATGTTGTTTAAGGGAATAATCACTGTTTAACTCTATCATACTAAAGCTATACATACACTCTGCACAAAATGCAGAGTTACCAATTATTAAAGCAGGCTGTATATATAATTACCATTGGGCTTTACAGGATTAATTAGACATGAATTTTAAATTTGTTTTGTGGTCCCAAGAATTAAATGCTCAAAGATAGGAAGTTGTAGTCCTTTGAGATTCCACTCCCAGCAATGGGTTTCATTTGACTTAATCAACAAACCACACACACACAAAAAAGTTCTTGTTTTTTTTGGAGGCTGAATGAACGTCTAATACTTCATTTGCAGTGGATGGCAGTGAAAATATTTCAGATCAGGCAAATGTGCATACCAGTAGGGTATCTACACTACAAAGGAAAAATATGTAAATAAATAAAAAAAAATTGGTGGTCTGCAGATAATGGAAAATTGGCTGTGCATTGGTCAAACTTCGTTCAATGTATACACAGGTTAAGTTCTAATGAATTGAAATGCAACATGGAATGACGCAACCATATGTCAATTCCTTACTCCCAGATAATACAACATTTGTGGGATTTCTGGTTTTCACAGCAGCAATTATGAAGATGACGGTCTTCTGAGATGTTACGCCTTGTAGTCTGTTAAAGGTTACCAATGTTTCAGTGGTATTTGCTGCCTGCATCATCAGGGCAACTGATCTCTGAAACGCCGGTAAACTTCTGTCGGACTACACGGCGCAACATCCATAGTCATATTGACAATACATATAATATTACTTTCTATATGTGCATATTTTACTATGATACTTACTTATTAATTTATCATAATCTATTCCAGTTTCAGATTTGCTAACCACGTTCCATGGATTCACTATATCTTCCTCTTCTGTTCCACCTTTATCATTAATATTAAAATTATTTATATCTAACCGTTTAACTTCTGTAACAACCTCGTTCGCCATATTCTGGGCAGACAATAATATATTTCTGCTTCTACTCCGTATTCAAAATGACGTTAAACGTATCACCAGCACCATTCGCAAGTAGCAATCAGACCTTCTATGTAACAACAACATGATTCTCAGATGCTACGTTGTTAAAATCTGTACTCAGATGTCACGATCAGACTCTCAATTGTTTTCATACAAATGTATCGCGAAGAAATTTCCCAGCTGATTGCAGCGATAATCTGTGGTCACGAACTATCTTATTTACGCTCATTCACACCTTCTTCAATTCGACTGGCGCATTACTCAAGACCATAGATAACATCCAACATCTCCCGCTCCGACCGTTACTCGAGGCCATTAGCTCTCGCATAACAATCAATGATAATAAAAAACAGTTTTATTTAATAACGGTAAATTTACGGTTTTGACAAGAAAGTGCAGATGATGTTGATCAGAGTGGATGCTCGAACCTCGGACGAAAGTTGGTTTTCATTGTTGCCAAAATAAAGTTCGTAAATTGAAAATAGGTATATATATCATTGCAAACACCAACTTTGGTGTAGTACTTAACATTTTGCATGCTGTTGTAACAACTAGGCTCCACAGCCAAGCACCTGGAATTTTAGTTCTGTAATTATTTGATAGAGTCCTCAATTGTTCTTCCCCACCACAGGAAGTACAAGTCCTAGTGGCACAATTCAGAATCAAGTAGAATCTCTGGCAGCATACAAGTATGACTGAAATTAAATGGATTGGGGGATAGGGGTTCAGATCAGCATTTTCTCTCTGCAGGTCCACAATATGCAGTTATTATTCATGCTCAAAACATGCTCATTTAACATGATCTGCAATTGAAGATCAAATTCACCTCTGATCATGCAATGCAAACATGTCCTAATAATGCAGCAATCACATGTCTGCATTACCATGGCATGTGGAGTGAGGCATCCAGTCATATGGAGCCCAAACTTTACATTATGCATGAACTGTTACAAAGCCCTGGTCATGGAAACTAGCAATGGCTGGGGGTTCGTCATGCTGACCACACGTCACCCTGTATCTGGTTGGATGATCGTTCACCTCTGCTTATGCATGTGAACGCGAGGCCATAGGGCTGTTACGCCACGGATTATTATTATTGTTGTTACAAAGCCATTTTACACTTACATATGCTGCACCTTCATGAATTAGTTTTGATTCTCAGCATCATGCCACAATTTGCAGTACATTTTAAATATAAAATTCTGGGCACGAGTAAATTAAAATATGGGTTGAAACCATTATTTTGAAAATTATGTAAAAATGTTCTGCCCTTCCCAATAAATAAATAGGGTTCAAATGGACTAACATATTCTACTTACTGATGTTCATACAATTACATGTTTAGCATCTTTAATTCAAAGAATAGAGGGTTCTAGTTACATTAATACACACTTTATTTACTAATATACAATTTATAAAACTGAAAATTTTATGATGTGTTTGATAATAAATCAGAATTTAACAATCACTTCCCAGCTCCTGGCAGGAACTGCATGACTCACTGACAAACACCAACAATCATCACTAAAATTATTCACAGACAGTGCAACTGTGTTGAACATCATGTTAAGTGCTGTTTTTTGTTGTGTGTTGACAGTGTGATTTCTATATGAAGTGTCCTACTACAAAGAATTGGAGAAAATTTAATCTTTATAATATTATTAATAAAGTCAGGTCTACTGGGTCATTTTTGGACAACCAACATGCTAAGAAAATGCTGTGTGCTTACTTAAGTAAAACTAGAGGAAATATAATAAACTATGGTTTACAACCATAACGCTCACCTTGTCTTATCTCATAAAACTTTTATTCATCATGTAAACTGAAGAACAAAATCTACATAAAGAAATTTGGAAGTTCCTGAGAAGAATTTCAACTTATTTAAATGGTACAGAGAGTATAGGGACATCATTTTCAGAACCTCTCATAATATAGGTAAATGATTTTGTTGTTTCTGTGCTGTGATACTTGGCTCATGTCAGGAAAATCTCGTAAATCTTGAAGAAAAGCACCAACACCAGGATCCAACAGGAACGGAGAGTTCCTGCTAGGTGCTGGGAAATGACAATTATATGTATCACTGAATGCACTGTACTTATGCATTTTTAACTTCTTTTTTGTGGTAATACAAACACAATTCATTGTTGTACTGTATCTGCCTCATCCTTGGTGAACTGAGAACTGACCCAAGCAAGTCCCCATTTGAGGTTTGTCAAGAGGAATTTAAGAGCTTTAGTCCATTGTTCCTCTGAATTGAACTGGATCCTGTAACAAAATAACTTTTATAAATCTGTTTTAACAAAGAATCCATGAAGGCAGGCAACACAGGAAGAACTTGTCATTTTGCTCTACAGTTGACAACAAAAGATTACAAGAGTGATACAGTAATATTCTGTTATCTTCTGTTAATAGGGTCTAAGGTACGAAAGAATACACTATTTTCTATCATCACTAGTTAAATTCTGTGTGGTTCAATAATATACACTGCAGTATTTATGATTAAAAATGTTAAAATATATTTAAAATGTTAGGATCCCTCTGCATAAAATCAAGGCAGATGATCACCATCACTGCCATATTTGTGCTTTGGGAAGAAATCCATGTTATGCGTTGTCAAAGTTGTGAAGAAAAGGCAGGTGCTCAGTAGATGTAAATTTTTAGATGCTGTCATTGTGTTAACTTGTTCAGTGAGAGATTCTAAGCTGTAAGTTGTGAACTGAATACTAAGACATTAAATGATAATTTGTTGTGTAAATGCAGATAATAACAATATATAAGCTTTTTAGACTTTAATGTATGGAATTTATGTGTCAGGCACAAGAGAACATTAAAAGTTAGAAGATTATAAATTCTTTGATAGGTATATAAAGCTCATTAATAAATTATGGAGAAATGGTCTAGAATGGTACAAAATCCAGATATACCAACTGCAAGTCAGGTGCGAAACACTACAATAATATCATCCTTTAATCAATTTCTGTTTTTATCATGTATTTTTAACCTTCCTACTAGGAGCACTTTAAACTTTATCAACTATGCATCACTGTTTGTATGCAATCCAGCTGGCACAGTAGCGTACTGATAAACTTTTAACCCCTGAGGTTAAGTCTAGCTAACAGTCTAGTAGTCTAGAGATTTAAATCCCCCGCACCCATATAATTAAAGTTAAATCAGACAATTAAGGGTATATTATTATTTTTACTCCATGGTTCCAAGAATGTACCACTAACAAACGTGCAATGTAAAAGTCATTAAAATATTACTCAACTGGTCTATGCAATTTATTATTAACAAGATGCTGATGAGTCTTCAGATTTGTACCCTCTAGTTGGAATTATCAGGGTGTAATTTTTCTCTTCTGCCCATTCAGACATAAAAACAACTTTGATATGTGTATTGTTCTATCACATAAATACCACAACCATATTTATGTATATAAATATCACATGTTACAACCATTCACTTCCCAAACATCTCAATAAGGCTTGTCTTCAATGTTACCTCTGTTCTGCTAAATCCATAACTTATGTAAATATTACTTACATGGCTGTCTTCTGGGTTGTTGCGCTGTGTAGTCTGGTAGAAGTTTACTAATGTTTCAGAGGTCCTTGCTGCCACCACCATCACTCTGATAATTGAGGCAGCAAGGACCACTGAAATATTAGTAAACTTCTACCAGACTACACAGTGCAACAACCCAGAAGACAGCCATCTTCTGACTTACCGCCATGAAAACCTCAAATCCTACTTAAATATTACATACTTGATAGAGTATGAATTTCCAGTGGCAGAATCTTCAATCTTGCCTCTTTCCATGCGGTATGGGAGACAGAATCCAGAGTCACCCTTTTCAACTTCCTCTTTAAACTGCTGCAGACAGTCAAGGAATGCAACCATGGCAGCATCAAATTTTGTATCCCACAAAAATCGAAAACCACCTGAGCCATACAATGGTAATTCACGGTGTTCAGCCAGTACCTAGTAACAGAGGTAAACTCTGAAAGATTAATATAAAAAGAAAGTTAATATTATTATGAAATCATAATTCTGGAGAACAACACAGATTCACAGGCCATGACTTTATTTTACAGAATAATCATAAATGTGTGTGCCGGCTGGTGATTTTTATTCATCTTCAGATTTTTCCCATCATTACTGACAGCAATTTTAAAGTGTCGTATAATAATTCTTTTCTAACTAGATCAGAGGTTTCCATAAAGTTCCAGTATTTTTATACAAGACAGGTGAGGCAGCATAAAAATATAAAGACTGGAAAGTTGAAATAGGAGGAAGCACTTGCTACAATGACAGAAGACTTGGTAATAACAAGAAGTATTTCATTCATTGTACTCATAATTCTTTTAAAGCACATTCAGGCAGACAGAAGGAAGAATAAAAATAATCACTGGCTGCTAGTATAAATGTTCTTTTGATATACCAACAAACTTCCAATGAAATTGGCTGTCAAAATAAAACATAACAAATGCATTTTGGCCTCTATCAGGACACCATCAGCATCACATTTGTTAAACCTATTCAAAATCATCCTGTTTATTGCTTAACTATAACATTAGGTGCCTTGAAATTGATAACAGATAAGAGTGTTGGTAATTTTTGTGAGTTTTATTATATACATACATAATAACCTAATACTCATCAGGAGTTCAAATTTTTGTCTTAAAATTATATTCCTTCAGGAAACAATTGAAGAAATAATGTGTAGCAAAAGGGTTAATCATACCTCAATATATGAGTGGTTTCCATAGGGCACAAGACGGAACCGCTGAAAGGTCAAATTCATTTTACGAGCAAGAGCAGTGAGTAGAAGAGCTGTCTGACCCCAAGCTGCATTAATTTCACTCCAGTCCACTGGTGCACTAGGCAGACGTCCTAAGCGAAAATTGTTGATGGTACCAAAATGACCACTGTGCCAGATGTGAAACGTTGCATTAAAAACATTTGTCTTCTTCAGCTTCTCTAGTTGAGCTTGGGCATAATGCAACTGGCATTTCAAACTGTAATTAAATACAGAATTTCACGTCAGAACTGGGTGTTCTTCAAATTAAAAGACACAAAAAGGCACTAAATTTTATTAAATGTGTGAAGATTGTTCTTAAGTAGCTATACCCAAAATAATTAATGTAAAAGGTGATATGCAGTCCTGCTATCAACACAACACTCATACAACATGAACAGCAAACTGGAATTGGAAAACAGTGAGACATATTCAAACTATGGGTTACTGCTACTGGTGGGAGGATGATTTGTCCTTTGCTAAGAGAACTTCAGTTGGATGGATGTCTAGGAGCTGATCCCGGGAAGATTGGGATTGCTTTGGCTGAAGGCCATCATGACTAAGGTAGAAAAGACAAACACCCTTTGAATTAAAAAGCTAAGCTGTCCCACTATATGTCATGTAGGTACTTGGAGGGGTGGAGGGGAGAAGGCATAGCTCCCACTCATTCTTAACCTTGGCACTAGATAGGAGTGAGTGGTCAGCATTACACCCTGGTTGTGCTTTACCCCTGGGAAAGGACCCCAGTACCCATCAGACAGGAGGCTGGGTTGGTCCCAGAACCAGTCTGGATACAGAGGATAGAGCAAAAATCATCTGCTACTGTCAGAAATCGAACCCTGGTCATCTAGTCCACAGTCAATCACCCTGGAATTTTTCCTACAATTTGGGGAGAAAAAGGTAAAACCTAAATAAACAGTAGGTGAATACAGACAGCCCTTGGTAGACACAAGTGCATCACCAATCATACAAGTTATAAACATTTCAGTCCAAATATGCAATTTTTTAACTTACAGGTAATCAGATTATTTGTAAATGAATCCTTTCACACTAGTCAGTTAATTATAAATTTCAATCTAGCCTATATATTAATTAATTACATAGTTCAACTGAATCAGAAGAGACCATAAAACAGTTTACACAGTCTAACTTTTTAATATGCCTCAAAGTTTTCTTTTAATTTTGCATTATAAATGGGAATTCTGAAGAGAAAAGTATTCCATAAATGCAATGTGTAAACATATACTTTTTTTCTTTTACTTGTGCTGACCTTACAATCTCATCATCAGTTAAAATCTGGTCATGTTGATGCCTGGTGTATTCACACAAATAACGATCCTCCTCACCATCCAACCTTTCATGTTCTGCTTTTTGTTCTGCAATAGCTTTCTTGGTAGCATATTCTGCTTCTTGAAGTGTTGCTAACTCCTGCAGGAGGCGTTGCTCTTCAGCCTTCAACTGGTAAAAAACCATTTTGTATTAACATATAAATATTGCAAACTATAAGAAAATAATAAAACAAACCTGGAAAAAAACACTACAATGTTTACAAGAACGAGTTAGTTGCTTTCTTTTTTACTCAAACACAATATCATGACTAATGTATGGGTACAGGTTGATTTCATTGTATAACTGATTCAAACTTGAGGGCAAAACACATACAACATTCTTAAATTTTTAGTCTATTGACCTTTACAGGTGGTGAAATCTCATTTCACAATTTATTTCTTAACTCCTCACCGTCGAGGGGCGTAAAATTACGTCCGGCATTTAAATTCTCGGGATTGCGGCCGGGCGTAATATTACGTCCGGCTTTAAGCCTAATTTCTTCAGCTCATAACTTTGTAACGATTAATGCCAGCGCAATGAGGTTTGTAGTACTCTGTTGTGGAAAGTTTTCTGTGTGTGAAGATCCGGCAACCCTGTTGAGTATCCCTTGAGCGACTACCTGGGAGTCTAAAAATAAACGACTGGCCTCAGTTTTGCAATGGAGAACCCTTCAAGCAGCCGTGTGTTATCTGATGCTGATGATTTCTACATACCACAAGGATGATATGTGTGTGACTGTCAACAGAGCCAAGCGAGAAGAGAAAAAGCCTCTGGTAGTTCTTGACTACAATAAACACATGCTGGGAGTTGATCTGAAAGATCAGATGC